CAATGAAAATATTTTGGGTTTTTTTCCTCCTCAACTTTTTTCTCAGGTATTGAAATTATTAATATCATCTTAAAGAAAGATGACAAAATTTCTTCAAATATTTGTCTTTACTTCTTTTCCTAGAAAGATTTCGAAGGATAAATTATGGAAAATGAAGAGTAATACAGTAATATGAAGACCTCCCCTCTGCTTTTGTTTTCCCACATTAGGGCATTTACCTTCAGTTTCTCTTTAGTTATGTCCTCGCCTTTGTTCTCGGAATCATGTAACTTATGGTCTCTGGTATAAATTTGGCCCAGTAACCCATGCCAGGAATCATCTGGTCGAAATGAATCCCTAGGTACTTTGAATAACATGGCTCCAATTTGGGAATCAGCCCTGAGACCACAAACCTGATTTTGGGTCAAAAACATGGTATCCTCAATCAGAAGGTTGAGTTGAGCCAAACATCCTCAATGCTAGAAAATACAGCTCAGCCTCCAAACATCAATCAGGTTGAATGGGGAAAAAACATGAAGTAATGGAACGAGCATGGGTTTTGAAGTCGGAGAGACGGGTTCAAAGTCCAGCAGCCACATTTATTAGGTTTAATGACCTTGGATTAGTTTCTCAATATTCCTGAAACAAGGATTAAGTAAGATGAATGCTAAGTACCTTCATGCATGTCCTATTTTGGATTTCTCCAAGAAGCAGACCCTGTGGCATGGATTCAAGTGAAAGTCATTTATTTTCTAGGTGGGGCAAACACTGGAAGGGAAGTGGGTAAGCGAAACAAAGAAAGGAAGATAACAAATAAAGATGTGTGTAATCAAGCCAACTACTCTAGGGACTGGGACTTAAACCTTCTGGGGAAATTCTGAGAACCAGTGTAAAATATACATTTCAGAATCATCCCACCAAAGGAGCAAAGACACTGAGGTATTCATACACAAACTCTCATCGGTCATTGGTTGAGTGCTGCTCTGGGGATATTAATTCCTGGTACTTACAGCCTGTCTTGCTGAAAGGTAGAGGAATGCAGTCTCTAACAGATGTAAATAAGACAAGTGTGAGCTGAGAGGTAAGGACAAGAGGATGTGGGATCATTGACAACATCTGCTATGGTCTACCCCTTGCACCGCAGAGATCTGCTCATTCTCCATGTTAAGTTCTCGAAGGTGATGGCTGATCACAATTTATTTAGTTTTTTTTTTTTAAGTTTAATTATAGTAGAGTTAGTGGGACAAGGTAGAACATCCCCTACCACAGTTATTCCTGAATCTGGAAGTGATATTCATCATTACATTCTTCTACCACCTATTCCATCTTCCCCTCATCATTGGCCATCATATCTGCTGATCTATGTTACTTGCCCAGTGGAGTCACTCAAGATGTTGAACCTCTAGATACCATTCCCTTATCAGACTGTGGTTGGTGCAGTCTCCTGTGTAGTTATTATCAGTCGTGAAAGCATCAAGAGATGCCTTGGTGAATCCCTTGCATTAAAGATACTCCTCCTACCAGCCATAGGGACTCATGCTTGTAATCCAAGCACTTTGGGAGGCCAGCCTGGGAGGATCACTTGAAGCCAGGAGTTCAAGACCAGCTTTGGCAACACAGAGAGACCCTATCTCTACAAAAAAATGAAAAAACTTCACTGGGCATGGTGACACATACCTGTAGTGCCAGCTACTCAGGAGACTGAGACAGGAGGATCGCTTGAGCCCAGGAGTTCAAAGCTGCCATGAGCTGTGATTATACCACTGCACTGCAGCCTGGGCAACAGAGCAAGACACTGTCTCCAAAAAAAAAGGAAAAGAAAAAATAAAGATACTCCTCCCCACTTTCCTTATGCAGTAGTTACGCAACAGCAACCCTAGCGCCTCATGACAATTAAGGTTAATCACCCTTGCCAGTATAGCACCTCCTTTCTTTGCCTGATAGAATGCTGGCATGGGGAGCCAAAAATGGCCAGATGGCAGCTATAACTTTAGGTTTAGGGGAATCCTAAATGGTCCCCTGTAGAGGTGTACAGA